GCAGAATCTTATCTTTTAATTCTGCCCATTTTTATGATGTTTGGCCTTTCATTCTTTTTTTTTTTTATAATTTTTTATTGATTTGTGTGTGTGGGTGTGTATTTCATATAGAACATCCCAAACAGTCTTATTCATCTTTATACCCCCATCCCAAATGGCACCCTCCCATAGCACCCCCGTACTGGAGCCCATATACTATGTCATCCCTGTTACTGCCCACTGTGTTGTCAATGCCCTGAGCCGTTCCTCAGCAGAGTCCCTTGTTTAAGGAAGATCAGCTGTTCCTCATTCTAGCAGCAATCAGTTGCCAACATTCCTTTAGATAAGATTGGGGTCTGCCGTTCATTTTCCCAGTTCTATGCTGTTTCCTTCTTAAAAAATGTCTTTTCTGTTTGAATTCAGATATAGTGGAAGTGCTGTTCACTCAGCCGAACATCGAGCTGAACCAGCAGGTAAGGCTGCCACCTTGGGAGCTCCTTAGCATACCTACCTCTTTCTCTTTGGTATAGTATACATGTAAAATGTATTTCTTAAAATGCCATTAATATAAAGAGTTTTGGGTTTGTTACTTAAATTTTTTTTTTTTGGTCTTTTTGGTCTTTTTGAGACAGGGTCTCCCTGTAGCCCCAGCTGTCCTAGAACTCACTATGCAGACCAGGCTGGCCTTGAACTCACAGAGATCCGCCTGCCTCTGCCTCCTGAGTGCTGGGATTAATAAAAGAAATTTTTATGTGTTTTTAGTGTTTTGCATGCATGTCATTAAGTACACCTATGCATGCTGTGTCCTCAGAGTTCAGAAGAGAGCATCAGATCCCCTGAAACTGGAGTTATAGATGGTTGTTACCACAATGTGGGTTCTGGGAACTGAACTGGGGTCCTCTGCAAGAGCAACCAGTGCTCTTAACCACTGAGGCATCTCTCCAGCCCCTTGTTATTTTTTTTTTAAATGTGGTACTGGGGTTTGAAAGTAGGTCTTCACACATGCTGGGCAGGTGCATGCCACTCAGACATATCTCTAGCCCTTGAGCCATAGTTTAAAAACTGTTATTATTAAAGTTCCAGCTGTACCAAGCCACGTGTCTGCTCCGCATTACCCTCTGCATAGCTCCTTCCTTGCTCTGCCTGTCTGTGACCTGGGGAAAAGACTTATGGTGCTGTCTTTTTAGCAGTGTCCTCATGTGCATTTTGGTTTCTGATGCGATTGGTGACTGTTAGGCTCCTCAGCTGCCTGGCACCCAGGCTTTCCTGCTCTGCTCCTCTCAGTGCCGTGCTTCTCAGTGTGTGCTGTCACGGCTTTGTATATATCATTACTGCTGTCTAGACAGGGACGAGGCTTGAATAGCTTTTCTGTTCTATGTAGTTGAGTCCTGACTTTTCTCCAGCTGTTTAACACCCTTCTTAGAATACCTGCATGTTGGACTCAGGGCATCTCCCCAGTGTTGTGCTACATTCTCCTTCACTCTCTGGGTCTTTTATTTTCCTTTTGTCAAAGAACCTCTTCAAGTAAACTCCTAGGAAAGGGGAGAGTAAGTGATTATTTGGCTGATCACAAGTTAAGGTTGAAACTAATTTCTCTTAGAATTTTGAGGGCAGGGTTTTGTGGTATTTTCATTTCCAAGGTTGCTTTATAGATTTGATGGCCTTCCGATCCCTGCATTAGACAATTTTCTGTTACCGTAATGAAATATTGGAGGCAGCCTACTTTATAAAGAAAATAGGTTAATTTGACTAACAGTTCTAGAGACTCGGGGACTTGGTGCTGGCATCTGTGTGGCTCTGGTGAAGGCCATAAGGTGGATGGTAGTGTCAATGGCAGGGATGCATGTGAGGGACGATCATATTCCCACCCACAGCCCCTTCCATTACAGTGCTTTCAGTTGACCTCCAGTTAGGCCTGTTATTTTTTATTATTACAACACGTGTGCGATAATTGACTTACAAAGAAAAAAGATTTACTTAGATAACAAGTTTGGGAGGTTCTGGGCCATTGCTTTTGGGCTGGTGCCAAAGCAGAACAGAGCCTGTAGTGGAGATCAGCTCACTTTATCTCCATTGAACAGACTGGAATCAAGGAGAGGGAACTGGGGTCCCACCATCCCCTTTGAGAGCTCACTCCATGGTGAATATTTCCTACAAGCCTCCGTCCCCAAGGTCTACCACCTCTGGATAGCATGCTGGGGACCAAGCTACTGCCTTAGGTCTCTGTAGACACTTAAGATTCACCTCCATGTGCTAAAGGAGACCCCCACACACCAAACCCACACTCAAACCACATCTAAAGCATGGCAGCTCACAATCTTCATGTGATTTGCTTTTTCCTCAAGAGTCTTTGTCTCTAGTGTTAAGAAATTTTACAAGGATGTACTTCAGTGTTATGTCTTCTCAGTAATTATAACGAAACCATTTAGCCTGGGAAGTTGGCTTATTTCTTTTATTGTATCTAACCATTTTCTATGTTCTTTTGATTCTGGAAAGCCCACAGGAACCAGATTGAACCTTGGATTTTTTATTTTTCTCAGAGATTTCTCCCTATTTAATTTTTAAAAAATTTAAAAATTTTATGTGTATGAGTGTTTTGCCTGTTTGTAAGTGTACTATGTGTGTACAATGCCTGCAGAGGCCAGAAGAGGTCATGGGGATCCCCTGGAATTGGAGACATGGATGGTTGTTAGCCATCATATGGGTGCTGGGAACCGAACCCAAGTCCTCTGCAAGAGTAGCTAGTGCTCTTAAATGCTGAGACATCTCTCTAGTACCCTATTTTGGTGTTTTATCTATTTATTTTTTTAAAATATCCCAGAGTTCTGTATTGTCTATTGCTATGTAGCAAATTATCACAGGTTAACAGCTTAGATGGGTTAGAATTCTGGGTGTCATATGACATTGAGAGACTCTGAGCTTGGTCTTACAGAGTAAAGCCAGGATATGAATTGGAATGGGTTCTTGGGAAGCTTGAGGTTGGCTCCTTCTAAACTCATTATAGTTCAGAGAGTGGAGTTTCTTGCCCTGTAGTACTCACCCTCTCAGCTTTTACTTTTATTTATTCATTATTTTATTTATTCTTTTTATTTTATGTGTATGAGTGTATTACCTGCACGTACGTAGGTGCACCGATGTTGTGCAATGCCCACAGAGGTCAGAAGAGGGCATTAGATCCTCAGGAACTGGAGTTAGGATGGCTGTTAGCCACCATGTGGATGCTGGGATTTGAACCTGGGTCCTCTGCAAGAGCAGCCAGTGCTCTTAACTGCTGAGCCATCTCTTCAGTCCCAATATTAATATTTTAATTGTTATTTTATGTGAATGAGTGTCTTGCCTCATGTAGGTAGTACACACATGTTGTGCAATGCCCTCAGAGGCCAGAGGAGGGTATCAGATCCCTTCAAACTGGAATTTCGGTCAGTTGTCAGCAGCCATGTGGGTGCTGAGAATCTAATCCAGGTCCTCTGCAAGAGCAGCCAGTGCTCCTAACCTCTGAGCCACTCTCCAGCCTCCCAGGCCCAGCATTTAGAGGCCCGTCCCTTCCCTAAGTGTTCAGAATGGCTGCTTGCTCTCCTCCTTGTCACTCATACTCCCATTTAACCTTTACCTTAACATGATGAGGCCTCACCAGGTGTGGTCGACCCAGCACTCCATAACCACCATCTGGGAAACTACTTGTAGAAGAGATAGCCTCAGCCACACGCAACAAGAGGGCCATGTACAGGGTCTGTCAGGGCAGGGAGTCCAGAGCGTGGGCGTTATTTCAGAGTTCCATTGACAGTCTCTTATTTCACTGTTACTTTTGCCTAGCATCTTTTCTTTCCTTCATTATGCAGTTACTACTTTATGTGTCTCTAATATATTAATTGTTGGCTTTAAGAATGTTTTCTGCTACTGTGCCTTTCTCTCTGTGGGAGCTTTTTTACTTCGCACAATTTGGTCTTTCCTCCGTACTTAAGCTGTTTTCAGATACCTACTGTCTTGGTTCATCCACCTGTGTGACTAGAAGGTTTGTGCACTTGAGGGGCACTGATGGCTGCTGGACTTCTCCACAGTGTGAACTGGATGAGGTGACCTTTTGCACAATAGGCCAGCTCCTCAGAAGAACCCATCAATGGTTGACTCCAGAATGACTTTGGCTTTAGTTCTGGTCTAGGGTTAGGAGGGCATCGAAAAGAATATATTCTCATGTACCATTCTTTTTTAAAAAATCCCTATCTGTTTACTTCAATCCTCCAAATCGATGCGAATTTGAAAGTGTACTGTTCAATCTCCATTTTTTTTATGGGAAGGTCATTAAAATGGTGCATGTTTTCTCCCGTACTCTTTTTTTAAATTATTTATTTAATAACCATATAATTAGCAGAGGCATTTCATTACAACAGCATTGACATATTCAATAACAATTTCCAGAGCTAAGATGCATCTCTTTCAAAATTGGCTGTAAAGTTTTAGGATTACAGTTGAATTAATAGTTACACAACATTGTACTCAGTATAAACCCAATAAGACATAAAATTAAATGAGGTTTTAACCTTTAAATATTACCTCCATTTCATTATTAAAATACACAGTTTCATACAGAAAAAAATATTTTAATGCAATTGACATTCAGATGTTTGCACATGTGTTTCTAATCTCTATATATCTGATTATTACTAGTCATAATCGGTTACTTTCTGAGCTCCTTGGCATCTGAGGATGGATATAAAGTTGTCATGTAGATTTCAATGATAATATTTTTCACATCTACTAATTATTAAGGAGCAAATTTTTATGCTTTGAAGAATTATTTTTTTAATCATTTTTTTAATTTTTATTAACTGTGTGATTAGAAGAAGAATTTCACTACAACTTTAACATATTCAGTAACATACTCCAGAGCAAGAGTATGTCTCTTCCACAAGTGGGTGCAAGTTTCTAGGTTCACAGTTGAATTAATACAGTTATACAGTATTGAGCTCAGTATAAGCCCTGTAAGACATAAAATTGAATGAGTTTTTAACCTTTAAAAAAGACCACTATTTCATTTTAGAATATATTGTTCCTTGAAAGACTCATTGTTTTTGCTACTAACACTGACATGTTGGCGTATGCATCTCTAATCCGTATGTATCTGATTATTACTAGTCATAATAGGTTGCAGTTGGAACCTTGGTGCCTGTGTATGTCTATAAAGTTATCGGGTAGATTTCAGTGGTAATGTTTATCACCTCTACTAATTAGCATGATGTAAATTTCCATGCTTCCTCCTTAAATATTAAACATTTTTTAAAATTTGTTGATTTGGGTGTGTGTGTCTGTGTGTGTCTGTGTGTATTACATACAACATCCCAAACCATCTTATTCAACTATATACCCATTTCCCAGATGGCACCCCCCCATAACATCCCTTCCCCCACTAGAGCCCTTATACTCTGATATCCCTGCTGCTGTCTGCTGTGTTGTCAGCACCCCAGCTATTCCCCAC